GTGTGCATAAAGGCGGCTGGGCAGGGACCTTGGGAACGGGCACCGGAAAAGGCGGAGCGGTCTCTAGTGCCGCCGGCCTTCATTCAATAGCGCAGACTCAGGGATGATCCATAATGGATCGTCCCCTCCGTTGAAGGGTTAACCCGGTACGCGAGGATCATGGCGCGTTTCGAACCTTTGGGGAAAAAAGGTGTTGATTGCAGGCGGCGGAAAGGAAATGACCTTGAGTTCATCGGGCTTTTTGCGAGGAGATCTATCTAGATTTGTGACTCACGAAGCAGGATAGCAATTATGGTTGGTATGCCAGTCTCGGTGTTATTTCTTTGTTGAAACATGCGGGAGAAGATCAGAAGTACCAACATGATGGATATGGGCGCGAGAAATTTTACGGCTCCTTAGTGACTACCAATAAGAGACGGGCGGGATGGTGTGTTGGGAAAAAGAGACAGGGTTTCAAGCGCTTGGAACGAACCCTCGGTTGTAAGATAGCCGCCGATAACTTTCCCGTTGTACATTAAGCAAGGGTTAATGAGAATAAGAGCAATCGGTACGCGAAAATCATCGTGTGTCCTTCCAATGAATCGGCGAATTCAATACTAGACTTGGCAGGGAAGAGAGCAGGAATGAGAAGATTAGGGTACCTTGCTTCTCATTGTTGTAGGTATTGTGGAGAAAACGTTGTCGGCTGCGTTCGTTTCATGGCTGAGAACACCTTCAATGGCGTGTGATCTTTATCCAGCTAGATATTATTTTGTGAAACAACACAATGAGCTTCGGAAATGATATTGCTGGGGTGCGTACCTGAAAATAGGGCGTGGAATGGTATATTCTATTCTGTGTGAGATAATCTTGGTTGTTGAGAATAAAACAGCACACCTGATGAGTTGGAAAGGAAAGCACGTATTGCACTAGGGAAGCTCAGCGCTTCATTTTTCTTCACATGCAGCTACTAGAAGACAGAAGGGTCGAGTCATGTGGAGATATATCAAAGAAATGCCATAATTCTATGGCCCTGTACTATTGTTGAGAAGAAGAATTTTGAAGACACCGCACCTGACGAATTTGGAAAATGACAGCAGCTAAATGCTTCTTCATTGGTATAAGTATATAGAGGGATATTAGGGGAAGGCAGGCAGTGAGTGTGGGGGCAATGAAATGCCGTAATCCTTTGGGCTGCGAACTGGGGATTGCATGACACGAGCTCTCGTCAGTGAAGTAGGTAGGCTTCGAACGTTAATCGGCGATAACAGGAGACTCGCGAATGGCGATAATTTCACGATAAATGGAAATCTAGTTTGTACCTTCCACGTTGTAGTTAACTCAGAGTCTGGTTGATGGTACACCCGAAAAGGAAAGCAGTGGTTCCCTTTCTACCATCATGGACCAGACAGCTGCCAAAAAGATCCTTCAAAATCTGGTGAAGCGGGAAGACCTTGGGAATCGAGTGTGTGTGGATTGTGGGAGCCCGAATCCTCAGTGGGCGTCGCTAAGGTTGGTTTAATCTAAATCTTTGCAGCTAACACTGAGTGAGGATGGTATAGCTTTGCTGTGTTTATGTGTTTGCAGTGTGCTGGGATGCATCGAGGTTTTGGGGTGCATATAACGTGCGTGAGTTACTGTTTAGTTTATCCAAGCTGATATATTACAGATTTGTTCGGTCACTGTCGATGGATACGTGGCAGGATGACCAGGTGAAGCGTATGCAAGTCAGTTGATGTGGTATATCTTGTGTGAATTGGCTGGTTGACGATGGTAGCTCGGTGGGAACGGTCCGTTTCGCGAATTTATGAGGGCATATAGGCCGGTTGAGCAGGGCGGGTACAGTGATTCGTTAAGCGTTCATGATACTTATCATTGTTGGGCTGCGAGTCAGTATCGGCAAAAGGTGCGTATCATATAACAGTTATTATTATTGCTAAATGCTTGTATAGCTTGATTACGATTTACTGGACAAGGAATGGACATCGTCGCTCCCGCCTGAGCCCGCTTCCCCCGCCCTGCGCAAATCGCGAAGAGGAGCGTCGTCCTCGCCAGTACCATCCAATGAGTATCTCGGTCAGACGAGTACCAGTCGTATTCCTCCGTCGCGAGGTGGTCGCTTCCAAGGTTTCGGAAACTCGCCAGGATCTACGCCGCCCAGAGAGACGCCCTCGCCCATCCTTGACCAAAAAGAGGCAAAAGACAGCTACTTTAGTTCCCTCGGACAGATGAATGCTAGCCGTCCTGACCACCTCCCTCCTTCCCAAGGCGGACGTTACCAAGGCTTTGGGAGCACGCCTCATCCATCACAGAACACATCCTCCAATACTCTCCAAGATAACCCAGTGGCCGCCCTCAGTAAAGGCTGGTCTTTTCTCTCTGCTGCAGTCGTAGGCGCCTCCAAAGTTGTCAAAGAAAACGTCATCCAGCCGGGCATGGAAAAGGTGTCGGATCCAGAACTCCAGAAGAACGTCAAGGGTTACTTGGAGGGTGCAAAGAAGAGCGCAGTGAGCGTGGGGAGCTCTGCGAATGCTTGGGGTAAGAGCCAGTTCGGAGTCGATGTCGTTGGAAGTGTTGGCGAGGTCGTGGGCAAGCTGGGTGGCGGGCCGTCGAGGGAGGGTTATGGAACTGTGCCGACTGGTTGGGAGGGTGAAGGGAGGGCGTTGTATGCAGAGGAAGACGATGACTTTTTCGAGCAAAGGATCAAAGCCCCGACGCTTCCTCCAAAGAAGTCTGGTGATGGATGGGATGACGACTGGAAAGATTTTTAGATTAATCGAATCAGTTATTTATTGGAAATTAATTAATTTGATTTCTGCCCCGCATCTTATCCCCACATCCACCACCACTATGAACCGTATCATCCAACTCGGTCGACGAAGATATCATGCCTCTGTTTTGCCCTCTCGTATATCATCTGCCTCTCCAGAGTTTGTTGCCAAAGCACAGGCAATGGATGACCTTGTCACGAATCTCAATGCCAAACTCGCTAGGGCCCGACTCGGAGGAGGCGAGAAGGCTGCAGAGCGCATGAAGAGTAAAGGAAAGCGCGTTCCTAGGGATAGGTAAGCTGCAAGTATCCTATATTCACCTTTTCTCATCTTCAACAGGCTCAACCTTCTTCTCGATCCGCACACACCCTTTCTCGAGCTCTCCCAACTCGCTGCACATGACGTCTACCCAGGCGACCACGTCCCTGGAGCCGGCATTATCACAGGTATAGGCAGAATAAAGGGAAGAGAGTGTATGGTCGTCGTGAACGACCCAACTGTAAAAGGCGGCGCGTATTACCCACTGACCGTGAAGAAACACCTCCGTGCCCAAGAGATTGCTAGGGAGAACGGCCTGCCCTGTATTTACCTCGGTGCGCCTTTTTTCATCTTCTCCTCAACGTCTATCAAATGAATCCCAGTCGAGTCGGGCGGTGCTGCACTCCCACACCAAGCAAATGTCTTTCCAGATAAAGACCATTTCGGGAGGATCTTTTACAACATGGTATGCGGTCCCTTCTACTTTGTCCGCCCTTATTCACGTCCCAGGCCCAAATGTCTGCACTCGGTATCCCCCAAATCGCCTCTGTCCACGGTATAAGCGTCGCAGGGGGTGCCTACGTCCCAGCCATGGCTGACGAGAACGTCGTTGTCCAGAACCAAGGGCGGATATTCCTTGCTGGTCCCCCACTCGTGAGGGCCGCGACGGGAGAAGAGGTAGGCGAGGAGGATTTGGGCGGCGGGAGGATGCATTCGACGGAGAGTGGCGTGACGGATCATTTGGCGAGGGATGATGAGCATGCGATCGATATTGTGCGGGGTGTTGTGGGTGATTTGGGAAAGGGCAAGGAGAGGATGGTGGATGCTGAACCTGAGGACCCGTTGTACCCTGCTAGTGAGCTCCATGGTATTGTGGGTACGGATGTCCGCCAGGCCTTTGATATGCGCGATGTCATTGCTCGCTTGGTTGATGGCAGTCGCTTTAGAGAGTTTAAGAAGGAGTATGGCCCGACTATCATCACTGTGAGCTTATTCTTCCTGTATGAACTGCCACTCATTCGTGTAGGGTTTTGCCCATATACACGGCTACCAAGTAGGCATCGTCGCCAACAACGGCATCCTCTTTTCTCCCTCTGCCTTGAAAGCCACCCATTTCATACAGATCTGCGAGCAGAGGGGGGTGCCATTGGTCTTTCTCGTCAATGTCACAGGTGGCCATGTTGACATTGTCAAAACACTTGTCATTAACTTAAGATTGTAGGCTATATGGTGGGTTCCAAGGCGGAACGAGGGGGGATAGCCAAAGATGGTACGTTACACCCGTTCAATTGATATGTGGTTCCGTGAACCTGGTGTAATAGGTGCAAAGATGGTCAGGGCCGTTGCCTGCGCGACTGTGCCAAAGTTTACTGTCATCGTCGGTGGCAGCTTTGGAGCGGGCAATTACGGTGCGTCCATAGTAACACTGTGTGTTGTTCATTAGTTAATCACTTCATTCATTCAGGCATGGCCGGTCGAGCGGTAAGTCCCCCATCTCTAGTACACCTGACACTGACGTTAGCAACTCCAAAGTATTCTCCGAGGTTCCTGTGGATGTGGCCTGTACGTTACTCACTTTTCATAACCACCCTTTATAATTTAATATCATTTACAGAACGCAAAAGTATCCGTAATGGGCTCTGCACAGCTCTCGCAAGTTATGACATCCGTGTCCAAGTACGTTACCTCCCCCCCTCTTTTTCTGCCTCGCTTCTCATTTTTGGTACCAGGGACCCAACACAGCACGCAGCACTCAAGACGGAGATCGAGAAACAGAGTACGGCGCTATATTCGACGGCGAGGCTGTGGGATGATGGAATTGTGGCTCCGCAGGATACGAGGGATATTTTGGGGTTAGCATTGGGTGTTGCGGGGAGGAAGAGGGAGGGCGACGGTGGGTTTGGCGTGTTTAGGATGTAAATAGTAGGAACCTTGCCGTATATTGGTCCTCGGGAGTTATGTCCAGATGCAAGGATGGAGTGTGGCAGCTATGGCAACATGGCCGAGTGGTTAAGGCGCTAGATCCAGGTTGTGTACCACGTGACTTTCTAGTCCGTAACAGGGCGTGGGTTCGAGTCCCACTGTTGTCACATTATAATTCCCTGCTTGCGTCAGAGTGATTAATTGTTTTTCAACTTACAAAACCCATCACTCGAGTAAATACTTGTGGTGCGTCAAGTCGGAGCTGTCTTGCGTCAGCGCCACTGGGGTATCAGGCTGCAGGGGCCGGCATTTGTGTCTTTTGACCTCCTCAAGGTTCCAACACCCTAGGAAGGCAGAAACATTGTTGCGAACTACCGGGACAGTAGAACACTTTTACAAGATTACTAATTTGGAACATATGGTTTAACCAGTTGGTGGTGTAAATTTGGATTCGAATCGCAGTCTATTTTGAGCCGAGACTCGAGTATAATACTTGCCAGGGACCTAGACCGTGATTTATAGTGCATAATGTCAGTCCTTTATTCCTCTCGACTTTTGTCCCAGAAACCTGAAATTAAACACCTTTCCTGATTTGTGTTTGTGACGAAGTTACTTTTTTTTTTCAAGTTGACGAGCACACCGTCTTTCCTGTTGCAGCGCTGATGATAGATTCCGAAACGCTGCAACTGATTCATTCTTCCTTCCGAAGGCACATTTAATCCTCTTCGGTGCCTGCGTATGTTGACGGTTGTCCTGTACGCCTCCCAAAAATACAGTTGATATTAAACAATGTGACCGAGGATTCGTTCTCTCGCCTTGCTCGAGGGGAGAAGGGAATGCGCTTGAACGGCGAGTGTCTTGCCAGATACGACGGCTGCCGATTCCATCCAGGGTGACCGTGTGGATGCAACGGAGAAATGCACCCAGAAATAGAGTGTTATTGTTGTGCGGGTTGACGGTAAAGTGACCATGGGACAGTTCAGCGTCAAGCCTGTTATTGCGAATGTCAGTCCATACCGAGCGTACATGCTTCTAAGCGCAGATATTTATGAACATTAGATTGTCCCGTATGCTAGCTTGATGTAGAGTGCTTGAACGAAATTGAATAAGAAAAGTTCACTGGGGTGAAAAAGACAAACGTCTGACTTTGAGCCTTCGGACCTGGACTGGGAGGATCCGCAGATAACATGTTACGGGAGACCCTTGAGGAAGATCATTGCAGATACCGACAGCATACAAGGACCAGTACATATAAAGGGATCTAAAAACAGCTTCGGGAACGATTCAAGTCGTGGGATGATAACACCATATTAGATACGGAGTCGACACGAATGTCGCTGAGTTTTGTGTCACGATAGCGTTCCACTCGCACTCGACTTGGTAGCTTCTCGATTGCATCAAGTAGTACGACTCGAAAAACCCGTTCTTGGATGAATGACAGAATTCGAAGATACGGAACAAGACAACCGGGTGATACTTGAATTCGAGAACCGGTTCATCAGTGGTATTCAAGAACCGGTGATATACCACACCAGAATAGCGGTACGATAAAATTGAAGTGAGTCATGTTCGTAAGCAAGGCTGCTCGATCCCGACGTGGCTGTGCATTAAAACGCGCTCGTCATTAAGCCACCACCATCGGCATCGAGACTCAAACTCGGCGACAACATTATTCCAAAGCAGGTACTATCGGCATATCGCGCAAGCAGCGTGACAGGATTATTGATCGTCAAAGCGTTCCGCTGTTTTGGGTCACCTCTCTCATCACACTCATCTCCTTCCCCCCTTCTTCCTCCTCTTGCCTCTCAGCGCCTGGATGATCCAACAAACGAACGCTCGTCAGGCTGGAACAAGCCTTCGTGGAGGGGCCGTGGACGGTTCAGAACTTACATGGGGCCAGTGGTCTGGGCGAAAGTAGGCGTTTAAACTTTATTCCTGTCTGTGTTTTAATTTGCGTCTGATCCTCCGTAGGTTATATACTCTCGAGGTTATTCAGAACCCACTAAGAGCTAGGATGTGTGGCTTTGGGGACAAGGTAGGTTGGGTAATCTGAAGATTTCAATTGGAAATCAATGTATATACAGGATCGACGACCTCTAGCACCAGCAGCAGTAGTGAAGATGGTAGTTAAGCGGGAAGACGACAGTATAGTCGACGTCGAGTACGTGTCTCTTTTTATACTGATTACCGTGGTTTACCTCCCCTTAGCGACGTGGATTGCTCCTTCTTCCTCGTAACAGTCGATCTCTGGTCTGGAGATGGGAAACAAGAAATGAATCTAGTCCTACACCCTTCCTCATCTGAACGATATGTCCAACAGACACCAAAGTCAAGTAGCAATAGCAGGCGGCGCACATCAAAAAGTGGACAGCCGCCCAACCCGACTCGAACGCCCACGCCGACACAGACGCCGACTTCCCCCGAGCAACCGTACCCGTCATACCCACCGCCCACTACCGACTTTGCATATCCGGAGACTGCCCCAACATGGGGATACCCCAGCACGTCCTTCCCACAACCTCCCCAGCAACCTCCCCAGTCTTTCGGCCGAGAACCATGGCAAGTCGACCCCGACAACTCCGAAGGACCTGAATACCGTCCGTGGACTGCAGAGACTTACTCTAATCCACCACCCAACCCAAATCCTAATCCTAATCCCAGTCCAAGTTCGTATTGGGAACAGACTGCTCCCGCCCCTACGTCTCCGTCTGTAACCAAGGAGAAACGACCCCCGCCCGCACCTTCAATCCCGCCCCTTCCTCGACATACCTACACACGCACCCTTGTCGGTCCGTTATCTGCCAATGCCACCCGCCTCCTAGATGAGCACCGAAAGTCAGGGATATTCTTCCTCTTCCAAGACTTGTCCGTTCGCACTGAGGGCACATTTCGCTTGCGTCTGAGACTGATGAACGTTGGAGCCCCGCCTGCACCTGAACCGGGTGCATCGGCAGTCCATACGGACATGTCACCTGTGCTAGCGCAGACGTTCACGGAGCCGTTTACGGTGTTTTCGGCTAAGAGGTTTCCTGGTGTTCCGGGTATGTGTGGGTTTTTATGGTATGGTGTGGTGATTGATAGTTTTTGTAGATACCACGGCGTTGTCTATTGCCCTTGGGAATCAGGGGCAGAAGCTTCCCTTGGTGAGTGTTAAGATATATGGTGCGTTTGTGTGTGGTTAATGGTTTTTGAACTTGTAGCGGAACCGACATGGGTCGAATAAGCGGCGGCGGCATGATTCTGATTCGGAGGATGACTCGGATGGGGAATAGGATGGATTGGTGGTGTAGATTCGTTTGTTCGTTTATATATATATTCGCTTATATCTGTAAATTTTATTATTATATGTCGGAAGAATTTATGGTATCTTTATGCGATTGGATATTGATGGATGTTTGTTAGTCTCCGACTCTGCCATATAACTTGTACTGCCTGTCTTTCAGATCCTGTGGTACGTTGATATGCCGCTTTCATGTTTCTTATTTCATCCTTTGGTTTAGTAGAGGTAAGCCCTCAATGCAGAGGCTGATGTGTTTTCGATAGCCCAAATGTGACCTTCGAGGGTTTCGTTTTCAGCCTCAGTTTTTACACCCTTGTTTTAAGTGCTGTAAAATGAAAAGGCACCTTGATTCCATTGTTCCATAGGGGAAAATATTTTCATACTATTTTACTGATAGCCTTTTCAGTATCGAGAAAGGCTTCGCTAAAATGAAACCTCTGCTATGCCTGTCTCTGAAAATTTGGAGTTATCTTTAATCGCGACTCGAAATATTCCTCTAGGTATTTGCGGATGCAGTCTGTACGGTATCGTTTCCGATCCCGTATGGTAAGCCGCCGGCTCTCAGATCTCGCAAAAGTATCCGTGATGCTCTCGCAGGTCTTGTCATTCGTGTCAGAGTATTATTGTCTTCTTGACTCGAGGTGCCGGTCCGTCTGCAAGCGGGGACCCAGGGAAACATAGGACGAAGACGGACATTGAGGAGCAGAGTACGGTGACTGCGAAGGCGTGGGTGGGAATTAGGACTTTCAATTGATAATCAGGGAAAGAATTGGTAGGTTGACCCTATATCATCGAACTCAAACTGCGCGAGGTATCTATTGACAATTGATATACTATGTCCTAAAACTCGGTTACTGACCGGGTCCAATCGGAATAAATACCAGGCTGTTATATTTATAATTGTCATCCTGCGAGTGCTACCGTCGTGATATGGCTCGGTCTTTTGTTGCCTCGAAACACAGTGTCATTTATAATTCCAAGCCAGAATTTTATCTGCTGTCCATAGATTTATCTGCCGGGGATTCCGCCTGTACAAACTAGTAGCCGCGATTCACTTCGGTACATGCCCAGGGGCATATTGTATACAGAGGCGCCACAGGGTATCACTTCCAATTAATTAGGAAGGAACATTTGGCCCCCCCAACCGTTCTTAGTGTAGCGGTAGATGTTCGACCTTGAATGGGTTGGTCTAATTTTCTCAGCCTAGTCAATACAAAGCAATCAATTATCCCCGTTTTGGATGAGAAGACGCTGTAGACGAAGACTACCAGTTGATTGTAGTATTTGAGGACCGGTTGAGTGCCACGCCAGAGTAATGGTATTGGCAAAAGAAGCTTGCCGTGTAAACATAGGAAAATAATACGCCGTCGATCGAAGAGGCGCGTTTGAGTGGCTGTGCAGTGAAACGCGCTCTTGATCCACAACCCACGCCGACCAGCGCTAGCTTCAATAGTATTGAATTGATTGTTGAGATATTGCGCAAGTAATCCAGAGTGATTAGGTATTTATGTATCATCGAGTATTCCGTTGTTATGGATCACTTCTCTTTTCTCCCTCCCGTCCTAAATTCTAATGATAAAACAAACGGATGCTCGCCAAGGCCACCGTTGATGATTCAGAACCTACATGGGGTCAGTGGTCTGAGCAAAAGTAAGCACTTGGGTTTTTCAGTCTCTCTTTACCCTGTCATATTTGTAGGCTGTACACTCTTGAGGTCGTTCAGAATCCGCTAAGAGCCCGGACGTGCGGCTTTGGAGATAAGGTTGGTCTGTCTGTTTGGAGGCTTCAGTGTAAAATTATGACATGTACTACTGTAGGACCGGAGACCACTAGCACCAGCGGTAGTTGTGAAGATGGTAGTTAAACGTGAAGACGACAGTACTGTTG